GTCGTCTCCAGGGTCGTTGGATGCCGGCTGTGACTGAGATGGTGGAGGCTCTTGGGATGGAAGGGCTCCGCTTTCCCGTCTCTGACGCAACACTTCCGCCAGTTGCGGGTTTGTTAGCGCCACAACGTCGAGGATACCCGTGAGCGTACGCACATGAGACTGCGTCGCCTGCAACTCCGTCTGCGTCGTCTGCAACTCCTTCCGTAGGTGCGCATTGTCATCGGCTTGTTGGTGAACATAAGCCGATGTCGCTGCGCGACATCGTTAACCGAGCCAATCCCGATAACACGACCCTTTTTCCTCGGAACGACCTGTAAATTAAAATATTAATAACCGAAGCAATAAAATTAAATAAATAATAAAAATTAATATATTAAAATTATTTACCTCCTCGTAAATCTTATCCACTTCAAGAGTGGATAATACGACTGGAGCCCTAGTCTGCTGAGTCAACTGGGTCTGGCACTCGTCAACTCGGGCAGCAACCTCGTTGTAGATCCGCTCGGAAGCAGGATCTACAAACTGCCCACTCTTCCTCCGGTGGGTCCGCTCATAAAGGTCTTTCAGAGACGGAAGAACTCCCGTCTCTTTAGCCTGCATTTTTTTTAAATTAAATATTAATTTAGAATATTAGAATATTAAAATAAAGTAAAAATTTTATAGTTATAAAATAATACGTACCATGTCTAGACGAACTCCCCCGTGAGGCTTTCGGCCCGTGGTGTGAAGTGTCTTCATGTTGCCATGCTGGTCCGTGGCCATGCGATTCCCGGAGTTTGTATTGGACGTTCGGATCGAATCCGGCAACGTCCAATAGCTGATGAGGCCATCCCACACTGTGGTTGTGAGGCAATCCGGTTTCCCGCGCTCGTAACCATTCACCTGCAGATTTGAAATAATTAGAATAAAAGTCAATAAAATATATGTTTAAATAAAAGTATAATTAATATATATTATAATTTTTAAATTTATACCTGAAAGTCGCCCTTCCAGTTGTAGACCATGTCGCACAATCGGGCTTTTGCCTTGGTCTCGAACTCGGTCTTCACCCGCTGGTGAATCCCAATAGACCAACGGTATTTTTGCTGCAACCAGAAAAAATAAAAGACGGATTAGTTCAATAAA